ATGACTCTAAGCTTATCATTTTTTAACACACTTGCTACAGGCACCTTCTGTCCTTGTTTTGGGGGACAATTGGATTGATGTTTTATCACCCTTTTGCCCCCCCCCTCCTAGTTTAAATACATCCTAGCAAAACCTCTGAACTGCTCACTGAGAACATTTGTTCCCTTTTGAGAAAGATGCAAACCATCTTTTTTGTACAGCTTATTCCATTCAAACAGAGCTACCATGAGAAATAAAGCCAAATCCTTGCTCCCGACACCATTCACCAAGCCACAAATTAAAGTCCCTAATACGCATCCACCTGTCGTTCTGAGTGTTATGCACAGGCAGAACTTCAGAGAATGACAGTGTGGAAGCAACATGCCGTATATCATTGGCAAAAACACTAAAAACTTCTTAACCTCTGAAACCTCATTGCAAGCCAAGTCATTTGTCCCTAGATGGACAAGTACATCCAATTCCCCTTCCTGCTTTGCTTGCTTAACAATATTACAGATACGTCTCCTGTCTCTGTGAGCAGTAGCTCCAGGAAGACACCTCACAAGACCACCATTGTCCATCTCCACACCTCTTATAATGGAATCACCCAACAACAACTGCTTTCTATTAGGCCTCACCATAGTCTCCAAGCCGGTCTCCACAACACCACTAGTCTCAGTGCCTCTCTCCACAACAACACTAGCCTCAGTGCCTCTCTCCACAACACCTCTAGCCTCAGTGCCTCTCTCCACAACACCACTAGCCTCAGTGACTCTCTCTACAACACCACTAGTCTTAGTGCCTCTCTCCACAACACCACTAGCCTCAGTGCCTCTCTCTACAACACCACTAGCCTCAGTGCCTCTCTCCACAACACCACTAGTCTCAGTGCCTCTCTCCACAACACCACTAGCCTCAGTGCCTCTCTCCACAACACCACTATCCTCAGTGACTCTCTCTACAACACCACTAGTCTTAGTGCCTCTCTCCACAACACCACTAGCCTCAGTGCCTCTCTCCACAACACCACTAGCCTCAGTGCCTCTCTCTACAACACCACTAGCCTCAGTGCCTCTCTCCACAACACCACTAGCCTCAGTGCCTCTCTTCACAACACCACTAGCCTCAGTGCCTCTCTCCACAGCACCACTTAGTGCCTCTCTCCACAGCACCACTAGTCTTAGTGCCTCTCTCCACAACACCACTAGCCTCAGAGCCTCTCTCCACAACACCACTAGCCTCAGTGCCTCTCTCCACAACAACCATTACACTCTGAAAGTGCAGAAAATGAATTACGCAGAGCAACAGACTGTGCAAAATGCCTTTTATCCACAACTCTAAGTCTACCAGATCCTACAGTAATCCATCTGCCTTTCCTAGCATGTCTCTGCGGCAGTGGCTTTGCAGCAGTTCCAGTCTGAGTTTCTACACCAGATAATTTACAAATCTCAGACTTCAAAAATACAATCTCCTGCCGCAAGATAGAGAACTGTCTACAGATAAGACAACAACCAAACCTCCAAAAAGTGGAACGTGAAACAAATGCATAGCAATTGTTACACTGAACTAAGCCTGCCATTCCAATTATGAGAATAATTTAAATCTAACAAATCTTAATTTTTTTTTTTTTTTTTTTAATCCTCCTGAATACCTCAGATTACCTCCAGAATATCTCCAACTAGACACTTAGAAACAGCACTTGGAAGTAGCACCAAGCTATATTAGGCATTGGGACTTGCTCAGAGACCAAATAATGAATAAAAACAGTGACAATTACAATACTCCCAAATGGGAGGTGGAAATGGCCAATGTTGATTATATATAACATGTAGCAGGACCTTAGTACTATTTATTTATTTATAAAATATTTTATATTTTATATTTCTCTTGTTTTCACTAGCAAATATTTCCACGTGTAACATCATACAGGATAAAGCCAAAAATGTTTTTTTGTTCATTTCTTTCAAAACAGTAATAGTTTCATTAGTAATTCATTTCAAAAGGCTCATTCAATCTATTTGTCCTTTCATTAATTATCGCTTTCAATATTATAGATTGGCTTGGGTATAGATTAGTTGTTTTCCTTTCCTAAAAGGCCAAATTACTTATTCATGAGCTCAAAATCCTATATTTATTCCATTTAAGAAACCTACCTTAGTGCATACTCCACCTATTATAGTATTAATTATACATTATTTGGCTCATATTCTTTTCCTCCCTATTCATATTTATATCCTGTTGTTCTAGTTAACTTTTTTAAATTCTATATTCTTATTCTTTACATATTCTGAACAGTTATTCAATAATGTTCCTATATCCAACTAATCTCCATTTATTTGATATGTAAAAAGACAATATTGGTTTGTCATTGTTTTTTTACCAACTGCTTGAACTAATCCCAGTTTATCAGTAAGAATCCCACTAATATCATTAGTTTCATCAGAATTCCTTCTACCAGGAATCATATGATTTTTGTAATTAAACACTACTAATATCTTGTGAACTTAGATATCAGAGTCATTAACTATTCCCCAAAATGAAGACTGCACGCTCTTTTCCTTGTGTAACATTGAGTACTAGGATTACAGGGCTCAATAGCATTTTTTGCAAACACTGTTCCATGTTGGCCTGGAGGAACCATGTTCTTGGAAGTCATAGGTGTTCCAAATGACAATATGTTATGACAATAACAATAAAGCAACTGAAAGAGTACTTACCCCTGTAGTTCTTGAACTATTATTAACAATGTCATAGCATAGACCTGTTAAATGGAAATATACAGTAATAAAATCTTTCTTAATTATGTAAACACCTTGATTACGATAATCATAATGACTTTGTCCGTAGTTTTACCTCCAGACTTTAAGAAAGTAATTATATTCTTGATCCCCAATATTAACAGGAAAAATCAGTCCCTTTTTCAAGGATTTATCAAAGAACACTAGCTATCTCCTGAGCCACCAGTACAAGGGCATTCTGTACCTTATTTATTTGTGTGATACATTTATCTAATTTGCTGTTAGGTACTACAATTTGTTGTAGTCTGTTACTATAATTTGTAATTTAATGTTACAATATTTTGTGTATTTTCTATCTACATATTCGACCATAAAACCAAGAAATATATAAAATAATAATGATGTAACTTATTGCTTAATTAATGTATATATTATTTAACACATGTATTTTCATATGTAAGCCTGGGGTACAACAATGACCTTATGTAATAAACATTTTGTTTGCCCATTGGGAAATACCGTAGTAAGAACAGTACACATCAAACATAACAAATCAACCAAGCCCATAGTTATTTTAATCAGTTTATTTTTTGTTTTTTTATTGTTTTACTCTGAAGGATTTATAGTGCACTTGCTATCTGGGTACCTGTTCCTCAGTGCACATAATACAAACACACTTTTCATTTGAAAACACAAAACTGACAAAGCAATTTTAAAGGGAAACTTTCAAGATTATCAATCTGTCTCAATGTTGCAATTTGCTTCTCCAGATCTCTAACATGAGCTTCCAGAGAAGCCACTCGTTCACACCTGCCACAGAGGTATGGACACTGGACGGATTCATCCAGACATGCATAAGTGTAGCAAGAGTTAAATCTACAATCTTGCCCATTTTCACTGTTACCAAAAGCAACAAGTACCGACAATTAAACAATTATTTAACTTCTTGGTTTAAACTCCTTGTTTGTTTAACCCCTTCCCGACCTTGGACGTATCAAGTTCCCCCTCCAGCAATCTGTCTTCTTCTTCTATGGGGGGACTGTCTGTCAGCCCTGGCAGTCCCCCCTCTGCAAATTAGGACCCTCAGGGGCCATGCAATCACTCTGAAGGAGCGGTCACATGGCCACAACACATGGCCGCAATAAGTGTCCATAGTGCTGCCAGCAGGGGGACTGCCTGAACTGACAGGCAGTCCCCCTGCTGGTGAAAATAAATCTCTCTCTCTCTCTCTCTCTCTCTCTCTCTCTCTCTCTCTATTATATATATATATATATATATATATATTTATTTATTTTTTACAATATTCTTTATTCATTATTTTTCTTTTAAGAATGAATAAAAATGGACAACATAAAATCAAACATAAATTTGATAATGCGGTTAATTGTAATCAGGTATGGCAAACAATACTATTGCATCAAATGTTAAATTATTAACATTAGAACCTCTATACAGAATCAGCTAATATGTTAAGTTACAGTCAAATATTCCAGATATAAACATGGTTCTCGTACATGTGGTGTTAAATTATATCATAGGTCAATAAACAGTAATCATATATTTTCTAACATCTCAATCCATTTAATAAAATGTTGATGTTTATCTATAAAATGGGATGAGGAACCCATAAAATCTTTTTCCATGCGAGGCTGGAATAATAATTGATCATTAAATTGTCTCCTTTGGAATAATGAGCGAGACTTCCATTGTCTTGCAATTAGGGATTATTCTAGCCTCGGTGAGGGAATAATCTAAATTTTATTAAAGACAGGAGGCGAATATTTGCTTTACCTTCTTTACTGAAACCTCCAGCAGCAAAGAAACAGTTAACAGAACTTTTCAAAACAACCAATCAGAACAAAGCAACAGTAGTATAAAACCCCTAAGCAGGCTCTTCCACTTCCTCTTTCTTTGATGAGGTCGAGCAGGAGAGCAAGGAAACCAACGAATCCACCTTGTAGCAGACACATCCAGAGAAACAATCGTCAAGCCCAGAGAGAAAACAGATTACACTGCAAGAAAACAGAAAACATTGTGAAAGTAAACTGTCAAGACAAGATGTCATATCCATACAATATCACTTTCACATCATAATACCTGATGAATAAACAAAGTCTACAGATCTTATGAAGACCTAGTATGTACCTAAGCTAAAAGGCATTGACGAAACATAATTACAACACAAACATGATGAATAAAACGCACACGGACAACCATCACTGAATATTAGAAATAACCTTTATTATGTAAAACCATGCATTCACAAAACATAACAATATCCCCAATTATTTATAATAGAATAAAACCCAGATCCAGGGAGGGAACGTAAAAAAAGGGGGGGAAATATTCGCCTCCTGTCTTTAATAAAATTTAGATTATTCCCTCACCGAGGCTAGAATAATCCCTAATTTTATGGCAGGACAGGAGGCTTCATATTTGCAATTTTAACGCCCAAATAGTAGAACCAGAAGCAATATGAGATAGAGGACTGAAATAAAAGGAGAATGGAAAAACTGATTCCCTAAACAAAGCAGCGGTGTAGAGAAAATGCAGAAGGGACCCAACGGCTTCCAAAATTGTTGAGGTGACAGCACCCCGAACCAAAAGTGTCACAGAGGAACTCAAGGTCAGTCAATGAGAGGATCCACCAAATCCAACGGGCGAGCGAAGATGCAGAAACAGTCCAAAACGGCCATACGCAGAAATAAACAGCTGTCCATGAGTAGACGGACGAAAGAGCCAGATCCTGGATCTACATGGTCGTGTACAATCTGTCAACAGAGCTGTGGCCTATCCGGAGAATAGGGGTACGACACAGAGGACGAATAAAAATGAAATATGTGTTGTGCAGAAGCCGATGTACTGAACGGCAAGAAGGAAGAAGACACGTCGATACCATGACGTCAGAACGCGATGAAATACAAGATGTACTGGGGGGAAACCGTAAGCGGAAAAAACTGTCAAGAGATAGGGCTCCCGTACGGTATACTCCTCTTGGTAGACTGCAGACCAAGAGATCCTTAGCAATGCCAGAATCTTGAGAAACGCACATGAGTCGTCCACTAGCTGACATAGGACGTGAATGGCCCCATACGATCCTACCCTGAGAGGGCAACTCAGCCAGACAATGGGGACAGCCATGATAAGGACCGCCATTGGGACCCAAACATAAGTCGTGGCAGGCTACCCCTGTGGATCCCAAGTGGGACATTAAGAGACAGGGAGTCGTAGATTGCCTTCCCATGGCAAACTCGAGCAAAAAGGGGAGAGCACGCAGGACTCCTCCGAAGTGGTTTGGCCAGGCGAAACGACACTTCCAGGAATTCGGTCTGAAGCAAAAACCCAGAGTATCCTGTAGGTAAACGGGATGCGTACGCCCCGAAGGAGACCAAGCTTGGAAAACTCGTCCCTCGCCTCGCTGAGGGTCCGGCAGCCAGTTGGAGAACCGCTCCATATGGCGGTTCGCACCGAATGTAATCATGCCAGTACTCGAGACCCTGGAGGGTGAGGCAACCAAACATTGGGGTCTCTCCATGGCCGGGTGAAGCCGTCCGCCACACAAGTGTCTCGTCCCGCATACATTCTGTCACAAATGACGAATACTTGTCCAGAAGCTATAGATAGCGATCCTATGTGAGATCCGACTGCAGTCCGTAGTGGGCAACCGGTGAGAAGTCCATGCCGGAAGGTAGCGAGCAATACTGTGAATTTTGAACAAACCTGCAGGTAGTTCCATGCAGTTGGCGTAAAGGAGTCCCTCCTCCGGAGTCATCAAATAAGTCTTAGATGAGCTTCATCCGAAGGTCACATGATTTGGTCATACCAGGCCAAAGACCCGAGAAAGCGCCATGTTGGAGCGGCTGATCCGGATCCTTGAGGTATGGCTTCCATGGCGAATAGGCACCGGTCAATTAACCGGGTTGGGCCCCTAAGTGTAACCCGCAGGTTGCGAAGCATATACCTGGTATTTTCCTTGAAGACGGACATCTTGGTCCTCGGGAGGCGGAGCACCGCCTGGACCGAATATTCCATGAAAGACCGGAAACTGGGTTGACTTGGAGTGAGTCAGATTCAATATGTCCATGTAGATGGCAAAATCCATGCGGGTTTCTCTCATGTGCATTTGAGGGAGAGAACCAATCGTCAACGCCGAGCAGCTCTCAGAGGGGATGAGTGCCCTCCGTCTCAAAATGTGTCAACAGACGACATGCACTGGGAGCATGTAGCGTGGGGATGGGGCGGGAGTCCACTCCGCCGCACCCTTTGCCCAGCAGGGCAACTGCGGAATGGATGCCTCTTTTGGTCATGCGTATCGCTCATGGAACGGTCCAAGGTTCCGCAACCTTGATCTGGAGTCCGGGCACGGCCAGAGAGACCTCTGGGCTAGTTAAGGGGGAACCCTATGAATAGAGACATGTCGGCTCAATTTGTAGACGAGGGTAACTCCGGAGAGCAGACCCAGCACTTGGATGCTAAATCCATCAGTTTGATGTCCAGCTTGGACAGGGGCCGTTTTGCGGTTCTCAGGGATAGAAACCAACTAGGCGATACCTATAAGTCATATCGGTCCGTTCCCAGTGGGAATTTAGTCTTCTCCGCTTTCCAAGCGGTAACGTGCCGTTCGTCCCAAGGAAACATCTGTTTCCGCGTGTCACCGACACCCACTGGTTAGTCCCCGATAGAGTGCAAACCCCGTGTCAGGTGTTTGTGGTGTCCTGTCCTTCAGCCGTGATTGCACAAATGATACCTGGTGCGGCCAGCTGGGGGTCACCCAGTGTGCAAGAGGGGGTCACCCAACAAGCACAAGCATACCATGCAGTATAGGCCAGCAGGGGAGGGGGTCACCCTCAGTCTGAACATAATCGGACACTGTAGGTACAGTGGTGCGGCCAGCTGGGGGTCACCCAGCGTGCAAGAGGGGGTCACCCAACAAGCACAAGCATACCATGCAGTTTAGGCCAGCAGGGGAGGGGGTCACCCTCAGTCTGAACATAATCGGACACTGTAGGTACAGTGGTGCGGCCAGCTGGGGGTCACCCAGCGTGCAAGAGGGGGTCACCCAACAAGCACAAGCATACCATGCAGTTTAGGCCAGCAGGGGAGGGGGTCACCCTCAGTCTGAACATAATCGGACACTGTAGGTACAGTAGTGCCGAAGTGGTTAGCCGTATAATAAAGTAACCAAACATTGCCGGTCCAGCAGTGTAGACGGCAGGAGGGGGTCACCCTCATATAACCAGAACCGGGCATTGCAGATCCAGCAGTGCTGTAGGTAAGAGGGGGTCACCCTCAGTGTGGTATCATAGAGGTCTGTACACCCAGCAGTGTAGTCAGCGAGGGGGGGTCACCCTCATTATGGTTATAACGGGACCCTGTAGGTCCAGCAGAGTAGTCCACAGGAGGGGGTCACCCTCAGTATCTGCGTATTGCAGGGCACTGTAAGAACAGAAGCTCAATCAGTGGGAGGGGTACCCTCAGTGCGGACTGCAGGAGGGGTACCCCCTCGGTATGATAATAGCAGGACATTGCTGGAGCATTAGTATAGGAAGCAGGAGGGGGTCACCCTCAGCATTAATCTTACAGGACGCTGTAGAGCCAGCAGGGTACTCATAGGTAGCCATGTTGCCAGAGGGAGGGGGTCACCCAGCCCACAATGGTGTCACACGTCCATTATTATGGTCCAGTAGCAGGGAGAGCCCCAGAAATATGGATGGGGGGGTTCACCCCCCAGTAATAACAGGTCTGAATGTGAGGCCAGTAGCCCCACTGAGGGGTAGGAGGGTCCATATAGCGAGAAGCTGACTCACAGACCACTCGGGTATTATATTAGGATACACTTTTGAAGTGTATGTGTAGTGGAAAATTTTAAGTCCCTTGCAGGAAGGGCAGCAAATCCTAGGCAGGGGAGCTAGGTGCTGAAAAACAGGCCATTAATTTTTATGAGAAAAAGACTGAACCTTAGAGGAAGACTTGATTAGCATAAACACATGTGGCACATTCTTGTTAAACAAAGATTTTTATTTGAGCAGTAACATGTCCCTTTAAATCTGAGATTCACATGTAATAGTAAAAAAAAGTGTGACAAGTCTACTGCTAAGATAGAGAACCTAGTCACATTGCATCAGACATAGTAAGCTGCAGTTGTGAGCATGCCTGGGACAGATTCTGCTATCCAGGATCTGTTACATATGCAGCATGTGAGACAGGCACAGTAAGTAGAGGGATAGCTGAAAAACTGGGCTATCTTCCTTGATATAGGGAGAGAGGAGGGTGGCCACATGGCCAGCAGGCCAGTTCTTGGGTGAGACCTGGCTGTTCGCAACGCACAGAGCCCATGTGGCTCTGAAAAATGGCCGCCACGGCTCCAACAAAATGGCTGCCGTGGCTGCAAAAACAGAGCGCGGCCTACCGCGTGGTGATCGTGCGGCACTGCAAGCGGCCAGGGGCCACGGGGAGCAGGTGGGGAATAAGGGAGAAGGGTATGGGCGACAGAGCCCAGCAGGGGAACCCGGGGAGGGGAGGGGGAACAGATTACAGGCAGAGCCAAAGCATCATAGCAGGGGCACCCATTCCCCATACAGCAGAGTGAGAAAACAGAATAAAGTAACCCAGAATAACAATAAATCAATGAGCAGTATACAGAGTCTATCAGATAAATAGCCTCAATACAGCAACAGATGTTAACAAGTGATACAGCAGCTACATAGCATGAAGTGGTATAGGAAATAACACAGCAATAGACTGCTTGGATAAACACAGCAATAGACTGCTTGGATAAACACAGCAATAGACTGCTTGGATAAACACAGCAATAGACTGCTTGGATAAACACAGCAATAGACTGCTTGGATAAACACAGCAATAGACTGCTTGGATAAACACAGCAATAGACTGCCTAGCTAAACACAGCAGACAAACTGTTAAAACAAATCCAGCAAGAACCCTGCCTAAATAAAACTAACAATTAAGCTGCCTAAACAAACCTAGCAAATAGACTGATTAAATAGAAATTTTAAATAAACAAGCAGCATGTAGGATAGAAAAAACAACCAAGAGCAGAGACAACTCTAAGTTGGTGAGTGCTCACCTGGAGGCAGCAGCAAAGAAAGAGGAAGTGGAAGAGCCTGCTTAGGGGTTTTATACTACTGTTGCTTTGTTCTGATTGGTTGTTTTGAAAAGTTCTGTTAACTGTTTCTTTGCTGCTGGAGGTTTCAGTAAAGAAGGTAAAGCAAATATGAAGCCTCCTGTCCTGCCATAAAATTGTAATTTTAACTGCTAAAAAGCAGTGAATTATTAAACATTTAGATACAGAGGACGAAACATTCCAGCTTCAATGCAGAAGAGCAATATCTGGGCCCTTTCCAATTTAAATATTAAACAAAGAATTCAACGCGTCATAACACCAGTTCCAAAGGCATTTAACTAAGTTACAGTACCACCATATATGGATGAGAGACCCATCTAAACTTCTGCATCGCCAACAATATGGTAATTGATCAGGATACATCTTACTTATTTTACCTGGGGTCATATACCATCTATACATAAGCTTATATTGACATTCTATTATGTTCAGGCAGTGAATATTTTTTCGAATTTCTATAAGAGTAACACACCAATAGTTATCAGTTCGGGAAGCTCGCGAACGGTTCGCGGCATCACTAGTTATCAGTAAAGTCGATCTCTAATTCCTTTTTCCATTTATCTTATTTAGTGGAGCTTGATCTAAACTATAAATCAATTTAGTAGATTTTGAAAGAACTTTTTTTAACTTTTGAATAATTAAAAATCTTCTGAATAAAAGAATAACTTTCTGAGGTAGATTTCACCAGTGATAAACCAAGAAAATTCTTTATCCTAAGATAGGTAAAGAGTTCTTTATTAGGGAGAGAGAATTTAACGTGTATCTCTTGGAAAGACATTATTAAGTCATTCTTTATAATTTCTTTAATAGATCTACGGGACTTAGGACAATTTTGAAGTGATATATCCAATATATTATCTACTAAGAACTCTAAATGAGATGTATTAATAACCCTATTAGAAATATTCAAGCGCTTCTTTACAAGATCCCAAGCCCTAACCATTTGTGACAGAACCAGTGATTTTTGATTGAGGTCGTTTGAAATTTTTTTCCCACTGTTGAACCATAGGAAAAATTCAAGTCTATCCTTAGTCGCAACCTCTGACTCAATCTTATACCAAACGTCATCTCTAAAGGATTTGACTTGAAATTTATATACATGAGTGATAATATTTGAAAAGTAGCATGTTCTAATATCTGGATAGTTAAATCCTCCTTGGTTTTATTTTCTCGATAACACCTTCCTACTGATTCTTGTTTTTTTACCTTGCCAGATATATAATTGGATACTAGACTGAATCATTGTAAGCCAACTGTCTGGGACAGCCAAATGTATCATTCTAAATAAATATGTCCATTTAGGAATGATATATGAATTGATTATGTTTATTCTACCAGACCAAGACATTTCTAAATTTTGACACTCTTTCAACTTTATATTTGTATATTTTAAAAGGTTTAGGACATTTATTTCCATAATTTTGCTAACCTGGGAAGAAATTGTAATGCCGAAATAAGTGAAATTACCATCAGACCATCTAAAGTCAAAACGATCTTTTAGTTCATCTAATCTATATTTATCAATGTTCATAGTTATGGCAGTTGACTTAGATACATTTAATTTGTAATTAGTAACTCTAGAATATTCATTGATCGTTTGCATAAGAAAACTTAATGAAGCTTCCAGGGCCGTAAGTGTAATTAATATATCATCAGCATATGCTAATATTTTTAACTCTCGTTTTTTTATTAGAAAGCCCTCAATATTTGAGTTATTTTTAATATTAATTGCAAGCGGCTCGAGTGTAAGAATATACAAAAGGGGGGATAAAGGGCAACCCTGACGTGTACCGTTCTTCAAACTGAACCAATTGGACGTAATTTTAACACCTATAGTTCTAGCTTGGGGCCTAGAATAAAGGGCCATTATGGCATCATGTATCCAACCTGTGAAACCGAAGGAGGTTAATATCTCGTCGAGGAATCCCCAGCTGACCCTGCCAAAGGCTTTCTCTGCATCCAGTGACAGGGCCAAAAAGGGGATCCCCCGACGCTCAATGAGATCAAGAATATCTATGATGCTCCTAGTGCAGGTATCTGAATACCTGCCCTGAACAATCCTACCTGGTCTGAATGGACCAATTTCTCAATGCACGGTCCTAGTCTATTTGCTAGAATTGCTGCATAGATTTCTAAATCAGTGTTTATTAAAGAAATTGGTCTATAATTTCTGACATCAGTGGGATCTTTATCCATTTTTAAAATTGGAAGAATATTGGCTTGTAAAAGTTCATCTGGGATTGTGGTCTTTAGAGATATTTCATTAAAGAAGGCCACAAGAGGCTAATTGATTTCTTTTTTCATAATTTTGTAAAAACCATTACTAAATCCATCCGGCCCAGGTGTCTTTAGGAGTTCTAGTTTATCTATCTGTATTTCCACCTCATCTAATGTAATTTCACCATTAACTTGATCCAATTCCAAGTCAGTAACCCTAGGAATAATTGTATTTATTAAGTACTGTTTTATTCCAGTCCTATCAGAAACGATGTCGAGATTATTAAGTTTAGTATAGAATTTGTTAAATGTTTGGCCAATAGTTTCTGGAGAGGAATATGTTATTCCTTTTTCAATGTGTTTATTGACTCTATTAGTAATATTTTGTTTTTTTAACCTCATAGTTAATTTCTTATTCGCCCTTGGTTACCTTGATAATAAGAATTTAATCTTAATTTATTAATAGTTACTTTAATTTTTTCCTCTAGTTTTACGTTAATAAGTTTTTGGAGTTCAACTAATCTTGCACTAAGTTGAGGCATTGGGTGGTCCTTATTCAGTTTAGAGGTATTGAAGTATAATATGTTTAGGTCCACCAGGTCCCTATTCAACAATTTTTTAGAATTTTTTTAAGATATCCTCTAATGACTACTTTATAAGCTGCCCACAAAGTGGAATCTGAAATATCAGGGTTAAGGTTTTCATTCCGTTAGAATCTAGATAATTCTATTATAAGATTGTAATTTACCTTAAGTTTAAAAAGAGAATCATCTATTCTCCAAGAGTTCATCAAATTCTGTATTGACCTTTTTAACTGGAGAATCTGAAGGGAGTGGTCAGACCATGTATTGGCCTTAATTTGGATAATTTCTATTTCTTTAAGGGTAGTGGCTTTGACCAAACAGAGGTCTATTCGGGAATATGACTTGTGGACCTTAGACAGATGTGTAAAATCAGCAGTGTCTGGATGGAACATTCGCCAAGAATCATCTAGACCGTAAAGAGCAGCTAGGTTTGTCAATGTCTTAGCTTGCTTACAGCCTTGCCCATCAGACTTTAGCTTATGGCAAGATTTTTTATCAATATGTGGGTCGAAAACACAGTTAAAATCATCCATATTAATTAAGGTACTAGTAATGATGTGCTCTATTCTAGAAAGAATTTTGGACAGAAGTGTTGTTGGATTAAGATTTGGTAAATACACATTTACTAAAGTAAATAGTTTATCTTCAATAGAACATATGATTATAAGGAATCTAGCACTAGGATCCAAATCTATTAATTTTATATCGTGTTTAAGATTTGAATCAATTACAATCGCTACCCCACATTTCTTATCTTTATCTAGAGATGCCTGATAAATGTATTTATATTTTTCTCCACCCCATTTTTGTGTTGCTGACTTAATCCAATGAGTTTCTTGAAGAAAGAGTATCTGAATTTTATGGGAAATCATAGACTCATATAGTATCTGTTTCTTCCACCCTGTACATTGATAGACATTGATAGATAAGAGTAAAAAAACAATACATTGGATAAGACAAACAAAAGATGGAACACCTTACTTCCATCTACAATTAACAGAATATGACCCCATGGTCTACAAGCCATGGGTTCCAACAACCTTGCTAAGACTGGAAGATTTGGAATACCTGTGTTAAAACACAGAAAGAGGGGCTGAGGCCATTGCCCAAAATCACCTTTAAGCTCATGTTATATACATATACCGAGAAGAGAAGAGAGAAAAAAAAAACCATAACAATAATATTATTAATTAAATATGATATATCATATAAAGTGCTGTATTGCTACAAAATTTACTAAATCAATCCAATGATTACTATAACCTTAAGTGGAGTACGCGTTCATTACTTCAACCTTAAACATAATTTATTCTAATGTGAGTTAGATCATTTTATCAATTTAAACATTTATCTGTGGTTAGTTATATCCCCTTCTCCTCCCTCCCTTTTATAATATTTAATTGCCTAGAAATTCCTACTTCTTATCGTGATGATTACTGTAGCATCAAATATAATAATTATTAATCCTAATAGGACCTCTATTAATCTGTGATATATTGTAGCAAAAAAATAACATTTTAGTGCTTTAGTGATAAAATTATTAATAAATCATTCAGCCTTATTACACCTGTGTACAATACTAAATTGAAGTATCCGAGAAGATTTCCATTATATATATAAAAAAAAAAAGTCCCAAGCCGTCCGATATAATGTAATGACTAAAAGAGTCAGTGGAGAGATTTATTCATCATCCATGTTTTTAACTTATCTGGGTGGTCAAAAGTCTCTGCCTGACCATCTGTATATATGACCATCTTCGTAGGGAAAAGCTATTTAAATCTTATGTTGTGTCTCTTGAGGATGCTTATCTCTGGAGCAAAAATTGTGCCAAAAGATAGATCTGGCAGAGCAATTATCTTTGAATAAAGGCCATCCTTAATAATTTTATCTCTGCTAGCACTTCGTACTTTCTCTTTAAATTCCTATGAATAAAAGAAGCAATTGTGTCTCTTGGGATTACAGAAGA